AACAATCCAATTCAGGAAATGACGTAACCGCAGAGGTCGCATTGTCCAATGGCATGGCTTCTTTTTCGTAATGGTAGGTTAGAGTGGACCTGGCCAACGACACCCCGAGAATTTGTTTTTTACGGTTTGATTGTGCGTATGCCATGCACGGAATTTACAAACGAGCGACGGGATGATGTAGCCTGCAGTATTAGCGGTAAGCGTGCCAAGTTTTAGGCCGCTCCGATGCCCGGCAGTATTTTATTTCGATTATTCTGTTGGAACTGGATCAGGTTTGTTTCAGAAGCTCATTCTATTTTATTGTCTCTATGGAGGTATATGGGGACTTTACGACATTCGGTTTGAAGGCTTTAACCACTTGTTATAGTTTATGTTTGCATTGTATTGGATTAATTTGGCAGTCCAAGGTTGTTGTAGGTGGTTTTCAAGTTTATGCACCCGGTTTTAATATCATTTAGCGATTTTACGACAATCGTTTACTATCCAATCAAGGTGACAGCCGAGCGTGCATACGAGCAGCCATTTATCTCAATGTAAAGGCCAGGTAATAGTAAATGTGGACAATTTAATCGGTTTTTAGAGCCGCCCCTCCCCTTGACAACATTAAGAAAACTCACAGTGCTTATAAGTTAAGTCTCTCCCAAAATGCTGTACTTGATCGCCTTAAAATTGCTGATTAATGCAGTTTTGGCAATGATGCACTATTAGTTAATACTTTCACATTTTCTCTCTCTCATTGACATAAGAAAATCAAGTTTTATCGACAAAAGAAAACGTGTTTGTCTAGTGCAGTGTATGCCCACCTTCTTAACTATCTTATTCGTTTACAACATGATCCTCAGAGACGCTGCAGTGCACCAGAATGTATTTATGCACGAATCAGCAACAACTCACAGGTAGCTTCAGTGGAAAGTAGTTGATAGAAACTATGCAGCTAATTTCTGTCACGCAGTGAATTATTTGTAATAACAAAAATAATAATAAATTCCACTAACCATCCTGTTTTATGAATTAAATTTTGCAAAAATAATTTTAAATAACTTGAATAGAAAATATAATATTGCCAAGATTTAAATTGGAGGATTATTTTAAAATATTTAGCTTGCTAGGTCAAGGTCATTCAAGTCCGTGGTTGTCTGTAGTTTGTTGTAATGTTGAAGAAATGAGATGACCCTATGTCCACACTTTGTCTGCGGAATTGCCAACGGTTGATCAAGTGCACAATATGCTTGACCTTTGGTGCGGCTAAAAAATGCAGGGATTTAACCATGCAGATCAACGGGCAAGGCAGATTGCAAGGCATTGTAACAGCCTGCGCAAGGTAAGACCGACTTGACAGAGTGCCACGTTGTTCGTCGTACTCTACCAGTGTAATGTGTTGCTCGAAATAAAATATTAATCCACGTTGCATCTTTGATTTATTTATATATGTACGTCTTCGGTGAAGAGACATTATAGATATAGGGGAAAGGAGTTTATGTCGTATTTGTTTAAAATGCTTGCGCAACTGATTTTTTATTGGAAAATGGAAGTCAGAGAAACGCCAAGTGCAAGTGAAACTCCCACCTTTTCCATGTTTTTGGTGTTCAGTTATTAGTTTAGGCTACGGAAGTTTACTACATAACTACATAACCGTTGAAAGTATACGTTAGGGAGCATGAGATGTATAGGGCATTTCTCAAATTGCGGTAAGTGTCTAGATATTCTGGGGTTTAAAGATTATTGAAAAAATGTTACCTGTTATTATTATTTTTATTTAAGTTAATGGAAGAAATTCTGTAATGATGTTCTCTCTAAAATTGATTTTTATTATTTTTTTCAATAATTGTTCTTTATTTGTTATTGTTAGATTAAAATCCATTCCATTGAAACTTTCCATCCAAGGACACATTTAGTCAAGATAATTGTCAGCCACAAAATATACTTAAATATCAGGAGACAATAATATCACTGCCCATGTCCTTAAATTTGATATAAGAATAGCTGATTGTGCAAAATGTGCATTTAAGAAATAACTAGCTATAAGCTTTACAGTGTGTAATCATAATAGCTTTAAGTTGTCTTTAGGAATATATTGAATGGATAACAACTGTTTGAAAAATGTCCATATACAATAATTTAAAAGATCTTTAGAATTTGATGTTGATTTTTTGTTTTCTAGCAAGCAAGATCAAGATGCACTAAAAATATTTTTGGAAAATTGTGGAAAGAGTTTAATACCATGCTGGAGCACTCAATTCACCATTCTGAAAAATCTGGTCCACACAAAAGTTTACTGGCCGCAGGCATTGGACATTGTTGATTTACAAATCAAGCCTTTAAGCTGTGATGCCATTTATAAATTATGTATCACAATAATGCTTTCATGCTTTTCAATATGAGCATATGGTGCCTTGAAAACTGATGTCTACTAGGTCTGGAAGAGATTTCCAGAGAGGTTTTCAAGGCACCATGTAAAGCATGAATATTGATCTTGATAGATGCCATAAAAAGTATATGTTGGCAGCTTGCATTTTATGCAGGTATTTAGACATATCTTTCAATTATTTATAATGCTTGACATATTATTGTGAAGCTCATATCTACAGTGAATAAAGGCAAATGGTTTTGACTGCTGACTATAATGAGACATTTCATGATGTTGTCAGCTTAAAATGTACATTGTGTTCCATTCTGAGAAACATGTGAGCAGCATACATTTCCAACAAGAGGAACAAGCCGCTAGAACATGTCTTTACAGGTACTGTCTTGAACTTTGGTACAAAAACGGCATTGGCAGTTTATGATTATCCAGACTGGTTTAGCTAATGAAAATTTGCCACATATAAACATATGTTTGTACTGATGCCATGGACATATTAGATATCTATCATGGCTGTCATTGTATTACTGCTATTTCTAGGAATAAGAAGGTTTTGCTGGTCATTGTCTGAGACTGGGTTCCCATGCCTAGATCAATCCATCTGGATCGATCCATCTCCCAAGGGAGTTTCGCTAAATTGCTGTCAACTTGCCAGCTTAAATATCTGTCACACCTACCGAATCAGCTAGGGTGTGAAGACAATTATCCCTTAACACCCTCACTAGGCAAGACAGACATACAGGATAACAATTTAATGAGACTACCCAGGCAGATAGATCGATCCAAATATCTGTGGGAATGGTCCCTTACTATTATTTCCAGGAATAGGAAGGTCTTGCTGTTTATTGTCTTACTGTTATTTTCAGGAATAGGAAGGTCTTGCTGGTCATTGTCTTACCGTTATTTTCAGGAATAGGAAGGTCTTGCTGGTCATTATCTTACTGTTATTTCCAGGAATAGGAAGGTCTTGCTAGTCATTGTCTTACTGTTAATAGTGGTGCTGTATATGTGGCCTTCCTGGCTGACAGCAAGGATAAGACCACGCTATAAGGGTAAGAGAAGATTGAGTTTTTCTTTCTGTTTCCCTAGGAAAAGTCTTTGTTCTTTTGTTTTGACACGTGACAGCCTAGAATTTCATTCTACTGATTTATATGAAGCTGTGTATAGAAATCTTGGTAACAGGTTTGTATGTAAGAATGTATGTATGAGTGGTAATTACTCAGGGATAAATAGTGATTTTTTTTACAGATACTAAGTCATAAGAAATTAAGTCATAATTTCTAATAATTAGAATATACCTATTGAGTGGAAGCAACAAAAATTAAAAAACAGGGTACTCTGTTGATTTATTCTATGCACTAAAACCACAAATTCTATAGAGAGATATGAATTTTTGTGATCATTAATGTATCTGAAAGTTTGATAATTTTTGCCCATTGAAAAGTCAAGTAATTACCGTATTAAATAAAAAGTGTTATTTAGTTTATTATTATAAAATGGGAAGAGAGTGCCATATTTTGCAATTGATGTTATAAATTATATATATATTATAAATCATAATATGTAATTACTACATTTTCAGTTCATCCACTTGACAAGTGTATTAATGAGAAACTGGATAACTTTCAGTCAGCAGCTTTAGAGTTTGATGCCATTCAATATCACTCCCCTCTTCAAGAAGGTGAAAACTTTTATCCAGCGTATATAGGTGAGTTGATAACTATAGTAATAGTCCAGTAGCATTTTTGACAATGAATTGTTTACACTGGTTGTAACTCTGGATCTGGTACAATACCACTGTATCCTCATCACTGTTCCACCTTGATCAAAACACAGAATTTGAATTTCAATATGTTTTCTCAGCTACATAATATCCTTACTTTTGAATAAAAGCATGTTTTTATGACCATTTTAAGAGAGATGTTTTTCTTTTTCCAGGTAATGGCAAATTTGGTTTGTCAGTGAACAGCGAGAATGGAATTTATTTACTACTTAACAGATCACACACTTTACCAGTGCAGTTTTTCCCAATTGTGGATGTAAATATTGAGGGTCATGAGAAAAAAGGTAAGTGGAAAATGTGTTTTTTTAACTGTAAAGAATAGAAATATTTAATATTTGACTAGGACCTGTTGGTGTCTGTGTGTTCAGCATCTTATCTCTTTCTCTATCTATCTAGTACAGGCATGTTCATGCATTCACACCCACACAAATACTGACCTGACTGAAGAGCTCTTGTTCCTATATACTTTGTATAGTATCCTATATACTTTGTATAGTATCCTATATACTTTGTATAGTATTCTATAAACTTTGTATAGTATCCTATAAACTTTGTATAGTATCCTATATACTTTGTATAGTATCCTATATACTTTGTATAGTATCCTATATACTTTGTATAGTATCCTATATACTTTGTATAATATCCTATACACTTTGTATTTCAGAGGCATATGTGATAGACTTGAAGTCAGGACTGGTGCAGAGAATACAATGCTTCAGAAAGGCAGTAAGTTTGGCATTATGAATCAACAACAAAATCAATTACTCTGACTAAAGAAATGTTAAGTTTCCCTTTAACTTAATATACACAGCCTAACCTAAATTTACTGTATTCTTCCAGTAATGATGCAAGTTAATTTGCTAAAAAGATATTTTTTCACTCTGTTGGTTTTGCTGCTTGTACAGCAATAAACCAATTATCAATATAACAAAGTAACTGAGACATTACTAGGGCATATGTTAGATAGCATTTGTCTTCCCTGTTTCAGCCCTCAGCCTGTGTGTCCATAGTCACTCAGGTTTATGCTCACAGGAGGCGTCCCTCTATCCTTGTCCAGGAGTTAAGGATACAAAACCCAAGTCCAGTAAGTGAATTAACCAAAGACATGAGACTCATTAAAACAATAGGTCCTTCGGTTGTTCATTGCTTATAGATATATTTGTATATTCTTTTTACAGATTTTATGGCCATTGTTTAATTTAGAGCCATTGGCACACACAGGTTTACTCATAACATTCATATTTTCTGATGAAAAGTTTAATTAGTTATGTGTCTAAATGCAGCTGACGTTGTCAACCATATTTCTAGGAGAGCACCACAGTTGTGGATCTTCACCAGATAGGTGCCTCGGACTGGAAGGGAGTCTTGACACAAATAACGCCAGTCAAGTTAGTAGCTTTGGAGCTTCAGGAAACCTGCACCAGCATAATATTATTCACATGTAACTTGATATAAAAAATGCAATAATTCTGACTAGCTAAGAATATTAAATCTGTAGTTGTATATATATATATATATATATATATATTGACTGAATGTCCTTGGTGCTATTTAGAATTAGAATTCTTTTAATTCTTTTAATGGATTCTTTTTTATACTGAGATATTATGGGGTTGTATCAGTCCTAAATGTTGTATATTGTAGAACTAACCAAGCAGGTAAGACCATGGAGTACCTGGTGTCTGCAGGAAAGGTCCCCATTCCAGGATCTGCCTCAGAGTTTGTAATGCTGGGCATAGCGTCCAGCAGGCTGCCAGAGACCATTCCAATCAAAGCAGACAGGTAGGGGAGACTGCTTTGTGGCAGAATGATTAAATTATGAAATACAAAAAATTGTGGTGTTCAGTTAAGTTTTTAAAAGATATCTTGGCATGGATGTCACCTTATGAAATTTTATCATTATACTTGATCAGTATTGTTTTGTATTCAAGCAGATGGGCCACATGACTCGTATTGCTTGCATTAAGCTACCTTCTACATATATAGTAGAGCATCAATAGATTCTTATGATAAGAAGTCTTTTACTCAGTAAAGCTGTCAAAGCATCTGTTACATATATAACATTATTATGGTGGTAGTAAGAATGGTTATACTATTTCCACTCCAGCACAGTGAAGTATCGCGTGGTGACGGCAGTGGAGTACTCTAGCTCTACCAGTCAGACTGGAAACTCTGGACTGAGGAAACAAATGGCACAGCAGGCAGCAGATGTAAGACATGGGGGTTGTGGTTTTCTTTGAAAGTTAATTTAACAAGAAGATATCATCACAATTGATTTTATTTAATGGAGTGCACTTTTAAGACATTGTCATGGTCAATATTTAAAATAATTTGGAAAGATTTACTGTTATTCACATGCATTCTTTTTATATAAATGGTAATTTATTGAAGGAAATTTATAAGTGAAATAGGTAAAGATTAGTGTTTTGTTTCTCTTGAAGTCACTTACATCAGCATTGAACATTGATGGAAAGAAGCTGAGATTGGAACACACCCGCATCTGGAACCAGGTAGGCCTTCTCACTGCCAGAACTTAAGTTTTACTAATTTATACAATAGTAGCTTCATCTCTTTTCAAGTATCTTGTCTTGGTCCTGTTTTTATTTTCTAGTCTTCGAATAATATGTAATCCTATCTTTATGGTCATTAGTATGTGCTAGCAGTAGGCGGTGTGTTGATTCTTATCTCAATCCCCAGAACAGCTTTGATTGTTTCTTTTTTAAAATCACAATTAAGAAGAAAGCACATCAAACATTTATTTGATTATGATAAAATTATGGACTTGGTGTATTCTAACAGGAGCCTCCATTTTTCAAACACATTGCTGTTATCATGTGTCAAAAATATTCAGAAGTTGAGTGGTTTTATTTATATGTCAGATGTGGCAGTCTGGGTTCAGTATCAGTTATTCTATGGCCCCAGGGATGTTAAATGGACCCCAGATCAACACCACCATGTACTATGTACTCAGTAATGTACCTGCCTCTATCCATGAGACTGGCATGACAGCATTCTCCAAACTAGAGCTGGATAACTTACTGCACTTTCCAGACAAGTGCTACACTGGCCATAATACAATGTAAGTAGCGAAGAGAACAGTGCTTGGTAAGACTACCAAACTGTTCTGGAAATATGTTAATCTCATTTTCCATTCATGTGAAAGATATAGATTCTATAGATTGAAAGTTGAAATTTTCTGCATGACTTAAAGTAACTTAGTCAAGATCAAGTCTTTGCAGCAAAACATCTAGTAGTTATGAAAAGCTGGAGGTTATCTGTTTGTTTTCCAGCCAGCTACCAGGGTCCTCACTGTGGGCTAGGTGTAATAATGAACTAGATGTGTCTAGATTGGCCAGTTCTTGGCTTATTACACTGGAGAAACAGGGCTGTGGCTCTATGGTCAAAGCTGGTAAGAAATCCCTATGATAAAACATCGCTCACTGCCAATCAACATTATTGAAAATTATTTTAAAAATTCTACTTTATAAAGACCTTTATGATTCAGATTTGTGTACACTCTATTGAATTTTGATTTAACCTTTTTTAGCAGCTAGACCTATATAAGATACTCATTGTAAAGTGGTAAACCTAACATGTTCTAAACATAACTCCATTTTTGTTTCTCTCCAGGCACAGATGGAGTTCTCCAAGCCATGATCTTGAGCTTTGGTGCTTTAAAATTCAGCAATGATCACCTGGAGTTTGGCATGATGCCCAAGGATCTCCATAGAGACTACTATTTCCGTAGAATCAACTATGGCAATAACACCCATGTCAACATATCTGTGATAGTAGGGGATGATAACAAGGCTGTTCTGTTTGCCTCCCTGGACAGGAACGACAAGGTCTACTTTGCCTGTGATGCAGGATGCCTGGACCCACCTGTTCAACTTGGGTTGGTACACAGACTTTAAGAACTAATATCTTCAATTGCTCTGAGGGAAATTGATCTGTGTAGTAATGTTACTCATAATGATGAAATTGAAGAGTTGTAAAATTCTTCGTTATGAGTATATCCTCAAGTGGTTCTAGCAGAATGTTCCTTATCCTTTTGTATTTTAAATCATTAAACATCAGCTAGCAAAGAAGTAAGTTCAGTCTGTCAATCTTTCATTTCTGTTATGTCTGTTGGGTACAGCACAACTTCTTACAATGTAATAGGTATTCATATGTTTGATTATTAATGCTTTTGCAATATTTTAAACTTTTCTTAAAATATTTCTCAGTAAAGAAACCTTTCAGAATGTATACCTGACATTCCCTTTTTATATTTCAGCAAAGAGCTAACCAAATTTCCAGTGAAGCAGACGGAGCCATTTACCGCCATCTTGTACATCACGGCAGACAGGCAGCACATGGACGACCTCAAACATGTGATACATGTGAAAGAGATCGGGGAAGGTAGGACAGCCAGGAAATACTGAAAACCATCAGCTATTTTAGAGATTCCTTATTACTTAGAATATACCCACTTCAGGTTACTTCATATTTAAAAGGAGCTGTATATAATTCAGGCCCGTAGCCAGGGGGGGGGTCGAAAGAACCGCCCCTTTTGCTGGGAAAAGGTCCACTCTGGGTAAAATTTGATCTTGGTACATGAAGTTTTTATGGGAAAAGGTCCACTTTTTCAGAAAAAGAACCCCCCTTTTGAAATTGCTGGCTACTGGCCTGTAATTTAGCCTTGTGCCATACAGCTCTTGCATTAGTCTTAAAATACTCAATTTCATTGGTATGGTGGATCAGTACATTGCAGGAGGTAAATTTTGTGTGATGCTAAGGAAATTTTATGATATTTTGTATTTCTCAAAACTTCAGCTTTACAACATGTTTGTATTAACTTTCCTGGGTACTTAAGTCTGAATTTTTCCATTTCAGCTCCAGCACATGAACACCATGTCATGGCTCTTCACCGTCATGGTCATGCTTTTGGTGGGCTGCCTACTTTCTTCTGGATGTCCATTGCCTTCCTCATCTTCACCTTCCACCTGTTTTTATTCAAGATGGTGATAAATGAATACTGCCAAGGAGGCAGGTCAGCTGCAGGGAGGAATAGAGGCTATAACATGTGACCAGAATGAAGGCTATAACATGTGATCAGAATAGAGGCTATAACATGTGACCAGAATGAAGGCTATAACATGTGATCAGAATAGGGGCTATAACATGTGACCAGAATAGAGGCTATAACATGTGATCAGAATAGAGGCTATAACATGTGACCAGAATGGAGGCTATAACATGTGACCAGAATGGAGGCTATAACATGTGACCAGAATATGGGCTATAGCGTGACCAGAATTGAGGCTATAGTATGTGACCAGAATGGAGGCTATAATATGTGACCAGAATCGAGGCTATAATATGTGACCAGAATCGAGGCTATAATATGTGAACTTTTGATTATCTCTGACATACAAGTTAATTAAAAAACTCCTTGTGGCCTTCTTTGCCATGGCCGCATTTTATGTGATTGGATCTCTTTCTTTTTTTTTTCTTTTAAATGTTGCTTCAGATACTAATTTGTTTTCAGTTCATGAAATTATTCAAAGTATTACAATCACACATGAATTCAAGGTGTAAAATATTTTTTACCAGTTTGTTATTTACTGTAACAAGCCCTTGTTTTTACCAAAGCACACATAGTGATAGAGATGTACCTATAATATGGAAGGTACTGTTTGCAAGTAGATAGAAAAGCTGGAATAACACTTTGGGGGTGGAATTTATAAAACACCAAAAGCCTTAAAAAAGTTGTGAAGACATTTAGTTCTAGAGTAGCATGACTCGTCAAAAAGGGTTTATCATTGTATTCAACAACAAGAATGTCTTTGACAACTTCAAAACATAAATGGATTTTGATACAAGTCTAGACGTTAAGTTCACATGTTGATGATTAGGATAACTGTTTTTCAGGAAAAAATCATTAGCCTTTATTATGTTCTTCGTGAAAGAACACTAATTAATGCTTTAATTGAAGAATTGAAATATTGTATTTACCTTGAGATATGTTATAGGTGCTTGTTGTTTAAAGTTAATTTAAATTGTAAATGGTTGGAGGTATATTTAAACTGATTACTGATCAGAGGTGTTATTTTTGTATAATAGGAGACTGTACATTTTAATGTGGCTTCACTGTACATTGGGTTGTAAATAAATCATAAAGGAATAACATCTTAAACCTTATATCTTCTTTTGTTTTATAAAACTTTTTGTTAAAAGTACAAGCACACAAGTATATGCTTGTTATTAATGTGCAGTGTTACAAATGCATTTCCCAAGTCTTACTAGGTACTTTCAAAAACACTGCTGATGACGGGCGACGGTGGTCAGAGTTTCTTGGTAGGCGAAACTTTTGCTCGGCAATGTGCTCCATTGTATTCCTGACTGCCGGGAAGTGGCCCAGGACGGTGTCCAAGTCACTTTTGGCCAGCACCAGGATATCTACATGGGATTTGGCCACATAAGTGACCACTGCAGGCTTGGGGTCATCTAGGATAAGGTTGACCTCTCCTATCACACTGCCACTGCCCAGGCTGTCCAACTGATCTCCTTCCAGAGCTATCTGAGAGAACCAGACCAGGAGATATCAGGATATATTTCTATTATCAATTCTATAATTTTTATCATTAGTCAGTTAATTTGGTGTAAACCCTGTGCCATGTTTACCATGGAGTGTGCCCATAAACCTCAGAAAATAAAGTGCCATAAGGTAATTTAAGTCGCTACAGATGCAAATATCAAAGTAAAAGTCTATTTGAATTTCATAATTTTTTAACAAAAAAACCTTTGTCATGTTTTTATTTAATATACCCCACCTCTCCTTTCAAAATGTAGAAAGCGCTGCTGTTAACATCTCCTTTCTGCACCACCTGTACATCTGGGACAAAGAACTTTAGCTGGACCTTCAGAGCAAGTTCACGCTTCAGTGCATCAGGGATGTCCTTAAACAGAGACAACTGGACAAAGCCAATTGTTAATGAAATTGTGTCACAACATGGAATGCAAATATATTTTTCAAAAAAATGTATTAAATATACTGAAAACACATGTTTCTACTTCCTAAGTCAATTTTACTTGACAAATTTGTTTACAATTTGCAAGCTTTTTCTCTCCCACTAGACGGCTGATAGGCAAAGAGAGCTGTGAAGTTTTTGTCTATATATTTAAAACTGTACCTGTTTTTCTCCAGTAAACATTGGCTGGCATATTTGAAGAGCTAGTTCCGACTGCAGGGTGTATGGACAGTCCACCATCAGTGACCTCAGGTCAACACCTTTCTTGCGCTGCCACTGGTAATGGTAATAGTTTACTACTTGATCTTTAAGGTGTGGAGGTACATTCAGATCAGCGAGTTCATCCTGGTGGAAATGAGCAACCGTTACCAAAGAAACAAGAATATAATCTTTAAAACCGTGAAAACTAAATATTGATGCAGTCATTCATATATTCATTATTTTCAACCACAAATATCTGATGTCAGTCACTGATCTTCAATCATTGTTCTAGCCTGTGTTTCTGCAAAGGTCTGAGTAAGTCTGGTGTCACCTTGATCACTGCCACTTTCTCCCTGTAAGCCACTGTGGTGCGTGCTGCATTGGCCTGGGAAGAGGCTATGGTACCCAGAATATAACCAAACAATATCTTCCCTATCAGCATAACAACAATGGAGACAACTGAAAATATGAAAAATTATAAAAACATAAAAATTATAAATTTTTGGCAAAGAATATAAGATATTATCCTATTCCTGACTTTGGCTGAGGGCTGCAACACAACATATCAACCTCACATTACCAAATATAAGATGGTATTCTATGCTTATTATGTAGTAATATACTATGATTACCACTTTACAAACGCACTTCATGAGCAAAGTTTTTGTGGATGTTTCCCCACATTAAGTAATTTTAAAGAATGGCATGTTAAATTCCATCAGGGCCTAGTTCCATCAACACTGATAGCACTATCCTATGATTAACATTATCCATGGATAGCACTGTTATCTTCTAGACAGTTATCCTGAAGATAGCAGTCATTCTTATCCATAGGATACCACTATTCAGTGTTAATGAAGCTGGGCCCAGTATTCCACTTTACCCATTTCTATATTTGTATGTGCACTGATGTCTCCATATCCAGTAGAGGTGACAGTTGCTACACACCAGTAGACACAGTTACAGTATCTCTCTATGCTGCTCACTGTGTGATCCTGGAACCCTGGAATACACCACCATTGACTATATATATGATATTCCATTACACGATAAAGAGAGCTGATATCCCGTGAGGGTATTAAACCAATATACAATGTGTCTGTATGTTTAAAATGATAGTTCTTAACTTGCCAATTTTAATAAATTTTTCAATAATTTTCAAACAAGTCAAAGTGCATTACATAAGTCATACTTGTCCAATGTCTCACCAGCCAAATGTGCCCAAATACATTTATTTGGCCCACACAACCCTCCAAGAAAAGTGCCTTACCAGCCAGATGTGCCCAAGTATTTGGTCCACACACCCCTCCAGGACAAGCCACTACATACCACAGACAGGAGCAGATGTGCAGGGTTACAAACAACACTATCATAGACTTCCAGAGGCGGACAGTCAGCATGCTGTAAAATAAATACCACTCAAATTCTGCATGACATACCATACAAAAATGTTGAACTTGGAATTATTACTGAGCACATAAAAACTGATTGCAAGATACTCCTCTGATAACTTATTTCTGCAGAACAACAACAAATTCTTTTCTCCAAATATACATATGTAGCAAGTGGCCTCCTGCAGCCCACTGACCTGACATTCAGCTCCTTCTCCCAGGCAGCAAAGAACTGGTGTACCTTGACCAGTCTTAGCACGTGGAGTAGCCTGAGATATGACCACATACTGACCCACTGTTCTCTGGGCAGTGCCAGCACCACCACTTCAATGGGACAAGCTGCTATAGCATCCAACAGCAAACCACTGGGTCTCCTTACATAGGACTGCCTCACTATGACAGCAGCATCTATTAGGTGACCAGTCTCATCATGGAAACTTAAATGAGATTTTATGTAAATCTGAAAAAAAAATTGTTAGTTTTAATACCCTACAATTCAGTTTTGCATTCAACTTAACTAAATAAAATTTGATACTGAAATTATCATTTTTCATCATAGAGTATCATGGTGAAGGAAATTTTAGTGCAAAGTCACCAACAGTCTATCAGAATTACCTCCAACCAGAAAAATGCATCTATGAGGATGTTCACTGCAAACAATGCCAGTTCATGGTCCTGGTAACAAGCCTGCAAACAATTATTTAATCAATGCTATTTATGCATAATTAAGCTTTGAATATTTCATTAGAAAGGCAGTAAGATTTGTTATTTATAATCAATCCAATTTTTCTTGTAAAGAAACTGAATAACAGAAGACTGTACTTTCTACTCTGACATTTGACAAAACTTCCACCTCAAAGAGAATAGTCCACCAAGACAGGACAGTGCAGAACAGTGTCAACCAGCTGAAAACTGTGCCAAAATGTCCATGTGGATTGATGGTGAAGTCATTCCAGCTGGTCCAACACCAAGCACATCCGGAGACATTCCTCTCTGGAGTTGTGACATGGTTACTTGACACATTTTCCCTGCAGGCAGGTTCACTATTGTACACTATCTCAATGGAGTTAACATCAACTGTTGCTTGACTTGTACCAGCAACAGCTTCTTGACTGGAATCACTGTCTGTGTTTTTATGCAAAGCTGTGTTCTCTGGATGTGGAGCTTCTCTCCTTGGAGCTGAACCCTGACCACTGGTTTTCCTGCAGTATGTCACTTTTCCTACTGTCACTTTCTGGGTTTTAGTGGCTTTGAATTCAATCTGAAATAGGACAATGTTTTATTAACTGTAGACCCCAGTAGAGGAGAAGGGGATATAGAGGAACATTGGAAATGGAAAGCATTACAACAGTTTTCTGTACTTTTTGGTGAAGAATCAAGTTTCCCCATATCAAGGAATACAGAAAACACACTTATTTTTGACTACATTGCATGCATACCTCTGCAAAATCACTGTGTGGTCCAAAAGCAGTCCTTTTCCCCTCTTGATTATCACGCACCCCAGATATGCCAGCACTAGTAATGCTTTCTTCAACATGTTCTGTTCTAAGTTGAAGAGCACTGCGTTGCTTGGCTTTGATTCTTCGCTTCTCTGCTGTTATCATTACTTGTTGATTTATGTCTGGGTAGTAGATCAGCACTTCATCTAAATCTGCCTTGCTCAACACAAACAAATGGCAGTTGGTATGGGCCCTGGTTAAAAAAATTGGTTGGTTTATTCAGACAACAATGAATTAATTTAATTTTTCAACTGTAAGCTCTAAACTTCTCTAAGCAAATGCAAAGAAATAAAGATTGAGATGCCAAGAAGTTGTACCTTATTGATGCAGTTCTTGGACAACTGAATAAAAGAGAGATTTCTCCAAAGAATCTTCCTGCATTCATAGTGTCAAACACTGTGTCACCATCCTCTGATACCACATCCACTGCCCCATGATGAATAAAGAACATCTACAATAACAAGCTAATGAAATCTGACATAAATCTGGACCATATTAAATATTTATGCTTGTTACAGCTACATGTACAATACAGGTATTTGGTCACTGAGGCAAATGGTAAGCTTCAACTGATAACTGCAAATGAGGCAATTAATTTAAAAGATGCAGATATATTCTTACACAAATACAGTGTATGAACCGTGTACCTCACTTCCTATGTCATGTTTCCTCACAACATATTCTCCTTTAAGAAATAACACTGGCTTGATAGAGCGTGACAGCATCTTCACAAAACCCACATCCGCATTCTCAAACAGGGCCACCTATTAAGGTAAAACAAGAAATAAATGACAATTTGCAAAATATATCTCTCAATTCTAGTAGAATCTACTAATTATTGGTAGCTATATAGAGACCTGTAAACTTTGTTGATATTCTTTATTTATAAAAATTATTTATAGTTGCTGTAATGTAGTAGTTTGACTTAACGCGTGTGTTATATTTTAAAAAGTTAGTTGATGATACTAGTACATGTAACTGTAGTGTGAACTGTCCTGAGATGCTGAAATTTATCATTTTGTCATTAAAATTTAAAAACTTATCAATACATATATTTTTTTTTTCTTTGCAAACAGGCACCTTAACAATCATATCCTTGTACAGACTGTAGGTGACATCCCCCCACAGTGACAGTGGGAGACCATCAAACAGAGATCTCGGGTCCACTCCATGAGATCTGGTCCACACATACTCATAATGGTTGATAATCCTTCTCTGAAGACCAGCACTGACTTCCTGATCCTTAGACAATAGGTGGAAATAAACTGTTAGTAGGACGCAAAATACCAACAACAATTATGACCAGAAAAAGAAATTAAACTACATGTAGTACTACAAAAAATAGATACATCTGGAAATCCATTCAAAAAGACACCTTTCTTGTACGTAGTGATCTTTGCTTTACTAAATTTTATTTTCATACTTCTTAAATAATAATAACAATAATAATGATAATAACTTAATTACTTTCATAAAGGTCTGGACTGCACAAAGTTTCTCCTGAAATTTTGCTCTCTGGGCATCAGCATTGACCAGGCCAGCAAACACACTGGCTATCACATAGCCAAAGAACACCACTCCCACAATTGAAATGACCACAGCAGCTGCAACCTGCCAACAAAACAACTAGCACTACCATTTTTATTTTAACAAAATGTCATGATATCAGATATAGCGCTGAGTCTATTTTTGATAACTAAAATGCACCAATATATAAATGGCTAGTTATAAATCAATCCCCCCCCCCCCCTCATATAACATGAAAGAATCCTACGAGCTTATGCCCCAGCCTACCTCCAGGTCAGTCTCAGCAGCTATGTCCCCGTACCCCACTGATACTGAGGTAGCTGTGGCCCAGTATAAACTGGTCAGGTACAGGGTCCATATGCTGCTCTCATCTGGAAATATTCTGCATTACATTAAAAAATTACTTAGTTGCTTACAAGTGTTCTTATATATACAAAAAAAAAAAAAAAAAAAAAAAATCACGGAATGCAATCAACTTTGACCTTAGATTTTGGATTTATAATTATTTGCAATTAAAAACATACTCAAGTTGTGTGCAGAAGTATTTGTTGTTCCCTTAGGGACCATTCCCATACCCTATTGTACTAAATGAGGATCGATCTATCTTCGAGGGGATTCTCGTTAAATTGCAATTAACTTAAATGGCTTAGATGTCATGATGTCATGCCTACTGAAGCTGCTAGGGAGTATTTATTATTGTTTAGCAGCTTCAGTAGGTGTACCAGACATCTAAGCTGCTTAAGCTGAAAGCAATTTAGAGAGAAACCCCTTGGAGATGGATCAATCCTGTTAGATCGATCTAGGCATGGGAACCCAGTCTTACTTGCTGTGAGTGTCCTGAGCACCCAGGACCCCTCAATACAGTGATGACCAGTGGTCAGTGTGTCCTTGGTGGCTATCCCTAGAATCTCAGGGGGACATGAGATCATAAATAAACCACAGGTCAGCCAGTTCATGAAGATAATGATGTATAAGATGAACTTCATGGTCCTGAAAGAATATGTCATATTTAACCCTTAACATTCTCATTACTTCCCTGAATTGTTTCTCTCCAACCTCATTACTCTCCACTGGGAAGAAACTGACATATACATTAATTCTTCATTTCAATATGTTACAGTAAATAATGGCCGGGTACTGAAAGTGACCAATCTTTTAAATCATCTTTCAAACACAAATAAGCAGTATAAATGCGGGGGAGTTATGATGGGGACTTAACGATGCAGGTAATGTCATAAATTTGAGATTTCCCCAACAGAAACAGTGCTCACCAATAAAACAAAATGACAACAAACTATTTTAATAAAGTAATACCAATCTTATAGTTGTACCTAATAATGCCCACTTCTCTTCTGATATCCTGTTCCAGATGTGAGAATGCCAAGGAGAGGTGGTAAATATTGATCATACGGTTCAGACGGAGGAAAACTAGATAGTTCAGATCTGAAAAAAATATTGCAATGTAATCTCAGCAAATGGTGTGCATCAATTTCTCATTCAGACTAATAACCGATAATGAAATGTTATGCAGATAAATGAAGCTACTGATTATATGTTACTTTTAATGTTAAACAGACCAAGGAAGTATAAACAGTATCTGCTTTCTTGGACAGACCTAAATTTTGTTAGCACTTACATGTAAGAATTATTTAAACAGAAAGCACTGGCAGATCTAGGATTTTACTACAGAAGGAGGGCAGGGGGAATAGGGAGAAAAATTTGCAAAGCTGAACAAGTCAAATGTTATACAAACAGGACAGTTCTACAAGGTGTGAAACCCAGGGATTAGAAAAGCATGGATTTGCTTTATTTGTTATGCTTGTTTCTGCACTTTTTTACTAATTTATTGGGAGGCAGCAGGGGTAACACCACCTGCACCACTGTCTGCACCAATCCAGTGTCCCACATCAGCCATTGGAAAGTGATACATCTTGTTCTTTCTCAGTTAGGAAGCATGATTATTGGCCCAACAGCAGAATAATAATGATGTCGCTGGTCCAAAGTTGGTCCAACACTGGTATAAGGGTGCCATGGGTATCCCAATGTAGCTCTGTGGTACACTCTACCCTACCCTACCCAACATTGGGCCATGGACTTTACTTACATTAGATGACCACTGTTTGCTATCTAGGTATAAGATCTATAACTAAATGTGTGCCACACCTTGGTATCCCAGGCAAAATGGAATGGCTTCTAAAGGTAAAACAGCACTTAAGTCCAGCAGGAAGTTAGTAGTGAAGTAGTGTTTGGCTGTAGCTAAAGGATGACTGACTAGACAGCCTTTCTTGTTGTAGTAAGCAGTATGGAGGCCTATATACCTATAAGCAAGATGACAAGGTAGTACTGTCTTTTTAAATGCCTCAAGGATTGCAATAAATCTGTTAAAAATTATGTTCAGTGAAGAGTAAATTCAGCTTGTTACAGATTTATCACATCTTTTTGCAAAAGTGAAACACATGTTCTTTTAATAATTTAAACACTGTTAGTCTAGATTCTTGTCTACATCAAAGTTATACTTACATGGCAATCCAACTGAGTACATCAAGTGTGTATGTAATCACCCAGCCCAGGATAGACTTATAGAAGAAAGCCCCCTGTATAGGAAGTACTATAGCTGTGGCAACAGACACAAGAACATGGAGGCATTCCCACACTTTCAGTAACTGACCGCTTGGTAAAAATGTCCGACTGAAAAGGGAGTAAAAATTCACTTACACAACTGCAAATTCTTGACCTGCCACAAAGCTGAAAAAACAAAAGCTAGTCAGCATACTTAATAAAATCATTATCATATATAATCTTAAATGTATACTGGCATCTTTAAAAGGCAGACTAATAAAATTATTCACTTCCATGTGTAATATTACTAGCTGAGTAAATTATAATTTTATTATAAAACAAGATAAAGATTAATACTTTTCATTTACTAACTTCATCAGCAGACAACCAGCTATCCTAGTCAGTGGGGTTGCCATCTGGAAGGAATGCAGGTACTCAACATTGGGTGTGCCATCATCCATCACTTTCTTAAATACTTTCACTGACTTACTGTTTTCTGTTGTTACTTGCTGCACAGGGCATCTAGTGGGCTTCTGTTCTTCTCTGTTTCAAAAAGAGAAAAGTATTGATAGAATTTTTCTTTGATGATAGTTCTTTTTTTCATAATTAAAAATTGGCATGTGTGCAATTCCTAAATAAATGTCAATGGCTAATTATTATTTTCTAATATGCAGTGCATGACCAGTTTAGAAAATGTGTAAGAATGATATTAAGTATAGATTGTATCAACATGATTTATGTCACCTAAATTATGCAAGAATAGTGACTATAGCCAGTATCTTTCAACACCCCCTGAAATGGTAAAAGATTTTAAAATATTAAAATATATAAATTTAAGTCCAAAGAACAACTCACTCATGCATATGTGCTTTCTGCCTCAGTTCCTTTAACAATGTTTCATTGTTGAGAATATCTTGAAACTGCCTGAAAGATTAAAGATCTGTTTTATGATAATATTTCATAATTCTTTGAAGTACGTAACTTATAAAACTATAGACTGAACAGACAGCATTTAAAAATGTCCCCTGTTAAAAATTAATTTGGTGTGTTAATAAAATACATGCATGTAACAGTTCAGTAAGTTAATTATATATGTGTAATTTTTTACCGATATTACATGAAGATTTATTTTATTATCCTTTGTTAAGGTGCTACACTACTACCGTGT